CCTTAAAGTGAAAATAAACCCATTAGGTAGGAACCCATTAAGTAAGTAAGTCATTAAATGGTACCTTGGAACTGTCCATGGGGACAGTGGGCTGCGGAGGGAGCAGGGCTGGAGATTGCTTTTTGCTCTAGTGTTCTGCTACTGCTTTGATCCAGGTATTGCCTTAAAGTGAAAATTAACCCATTAAGTAGGTAACCATTAAGTAAGTAACTGATTAAGTGGTAGCTTGGAACTCCCCATGGGGACAGTGGTCTTGGGAGGGAGCTGGGCTGGACATCACTGCGTGCTCTTGTGTTCTGCTACTGCTTTGATCCAGGTACTGCCTTAAAATGAAAATAAACGCATTAAGTATGTACCCATTAAGTAAGTAACTGATTAAGTGGTACCTTAGAACTGTCCATGGAGACAGTTGACTGAGGAGGAAGCAGGACTGGACATCACTGTGTGCTCTTGTGTTCTGCTACTGCTTTGAGCCAGGTGCTGCCTTAAAATGAAAATATACCCATTAAGTATGTAACCATTAAGTACGTAAAATGTTAAGAGGTACCTTGGAACTGTGCATGGGGAAAATGGCCTTTGGAGGATGCTGGTCTGGACATCACTGTGTTCTCTTGTGTTCTGCTACTGCTTTGATCCAGGTATTGCCTTAAAGTGAAAATAAACCCATTAGGTAGGTACCCATTAAGCAAGTAACTCATTAAATGTTACCTTGGAACTGTCCATGGGGATAGTGGCCTTGGGAGGATGCTGGTCTGGACATCACTCTGTTCTCTTATGTTCTGCTACTGCTTTGATCCAGGTATTGCCTTAAAGTGAAAAGAAACCCATTAAGTAGGTAACCATTAAGTAAGTATCTGATTAAGTGGTACCTTGGAACTGTCCATGGGGACAGTGGGCTGGGATGGAAGCTATCCTGGACATCACTGTGTGCTCTTGTGTTCTGCTACTTCTTTGATCCAGGTATTGCCTTAAAATGAAAATAAACCCATTAAGTATGTACCCATTAAGGAAGTAACACATTAAGTGGTACCTTGGATCTGTCCGTGGGAACAGTCGGCTGGTGAGGGAGTAGGGCTGGACATCACTTTTGGCTCTTGTGTTCTGCTACTGCTTTGTGCCAGGTATTGCCTTAAAATGAAAATAAACTCATTAAGTAAGTACCCATTAAGTAAGTAACTGATTAAGTGGTACCTTGGAACTGTCCGTGGAGACAGTGGCCTGACGGGTAAGCAGGGCTGGATATGATTGTGTGCTCTTGTGTTCTGCTACTGCTTTGATCCAGGTACTGCCTTAAAATGAAAATAAAGCCATTAAGTAAGTACCCATTAAGTAAGTACCTCGTTAAGTGGTACCTTGCAACAGTCCATTGGGATAGTGTGGTGGGGAGGAAGCTGCTCTGGACATCACTGTGTGCTCTTGTGTTGTGCTACTGCTTTGAGCCAGGTATTGCCTTAAAATGAAAATATACCCATTAAGTAAGTAACCATTAAGTAAGTAACTGATTAAGTGGCACCTTGGAACTGTCCATTGGGACAGTGGGCTGGGATGGAAGCTATCCTGGACATCACTGTGTGCTCTTGTGTTCTGCTACTGCTTTGATCCAGGTATTGCCTTAAAATGAAAATATACCCATTAAGTATGTACCCATTAAGCAAGTAACACATTAAGTGGTACCTTGGAACTGTCCACGGGGATAGTGGCCTCGGGAGGATGCTGGGCTGGACATCACTGTGTTCTCTTGTGTTCTGCTACTGCTTTGATCCAGGTATTGCCTTAAAGTGAAAATAAACCCATTAGGTAGGTACCCATTAAGCAAGTAACTGATTAAGTGGTACCTTGGAACTGTCCATGGGGACAGTGGGCTGGGAGGAAACATCCTGGACATCACTGTGTGCTCTTGTGTTCTGCTACTGCTTTGATCCAGGTATTGCCTTAAAATGAAAATATACCCATTAAGTATGTACCCATTAAGCAAGTAACACATTAAGTGGTACCTTGGAACTGTCCATGGGGACAGTGGCCTGAGGAGGAAGCAGGGCTGGACATCACTGTTTTCTCTTGTGTTGTGCTACTGCTTTGAGCCAGGTATTGCCTTAAAATGAAAATATACCCATTAAGTAAGTAACCATTAAGTAAGTAACTGATTAAGTGGTACCTTGGAACTGTCCATTGGGACAGTGGGCTGCGGAGGGTGCCGGGCTGGAGATTGCTTTTTGCTCTTGTGTTCTGCTACTGCTTTGAGCCAGGTATTGCCTTAAAGTGAAAATAAACCCATTTAGTAGGTAACTATTAAGTAAGTAACTGATTAAATGGTACCTTAGAACTGTCCATGGAGACACTTTCCTGAGGAGGAAGCAGGACTGGACATCACTGTGTGCTATTGTGTTCTGCTACTGCTTTGAGCCAGGTGCTGCCTTAAAATGAAAATATACCCATTAAGTAAGTACCCATTAAGTAAGTACCTCGTTAAGTGGTACCTTGCAACAGTCCATTGGGATAGTGTGGTGGGGAGGAAGCTGCTCTGGACATCACTGTGTGCTCTTGTGTTCTGCTACTGCTTTGTGCCAGGTATTGCCTTAAAATGAAAATAAACTCATTAAGTAAGTACCCATTAAGTAAGTAACTGATTAAGTGGTACCTTGGAACTGTCCAGAGAGACAGTGGCCTGAGGAGGAAGCAGGGCTGGACATCACTGTGTGCTCTTGTGTTCTGCTACTGCTTTGATCCAGGTATTGCCTTAAAATGAAAATATACCCATTAAGTAGGTAACCATTAAGTAAGTAACATGTTAAGTGGTACCTTGGAATTGTCCATGGGGACAGTGGCCTCGGGAGGATGCTGGTCTGGACATCACTGTGTTCTCTTATGTTCTGCTGCTGCTTTGAGCCAGGCATTGCCTTAGAAGAAAAATTAACCCAGTAAAATCATGATGTAGCAGCTGAAGCTCACATGTACTGTGTAAAATCAAAGCTGTACCTGTAACAGTGGAAGAATCGGAACTTCAGAATTAATTTATCGTCTCGGGGTATTCTCGAAGAAAATGATTTTTGCTTTTTAGCTCGTTTTCATGATTCCTCCGTACATTTTTTAAACATACAGATTAAATGAGGATCACTTTCCGTCCCACTCCAAGGGTTGTAATGCAGCAGGAAGTGTGCCTGATGCTTGCCAGATTCATCCTTTTCTCCCCTAAACTGAGCTTTAAATACACTTCTAAAAGTAAAATAGCAAAAAATGAAGGCTAAATAAGTTCATTTGGAAAGATAACCAGTGAACTTGTCTTTACTTTAGCTGATTTAAATACACTTTTAATAAAAATCTAACCACAGCACTTGCTGTTCCTCACACGAGGCAGCAGTTGGAGTTTCTAATCATGCCCAGCTGTTTAAAAGCCACACTGTGTAACTTCCCGTTTCCAAACTCCAGCTGATGGAACGCTCCCCACCGCTGCATGTCAGTGAGTTCCCTTTCAACTCAAAGGAGTGACAGAGTTAGGTGGTAAAATATAATTAAATCCGTCCCCCCCAAACTTCAAAACTTACAATTTTGAAGGGTTGAACAGAACTGACTAATTGCAAACAAAACCAGATGTGTTATTTTAGGTACCAAACACCAAAGTTAAACACTTCCATGTCTTGGCAGGAGATCTTAGTAACCTCTACGAAAGTTCTGGTTTTAAAAGTGCATTTGGTGAGTCTTATAGAGAAAATTAGCCAAAAGACAGGCAGCATGGTCCAGGATGCTGCAAATCACCTGGGGAAAAGAAAGCAGAATGTTTTGAATAGGCGAAATAGACATCTTGCTGTCAACTTGCTTCTGGCTGCCTGCATGAACTGTGCCAGGCACCAGTCATGCAAACACACCAACAGTTCACTGTTTTGAGTCACATCAATGGCTTGAAGCACTTGCAGAAGTTCTTGGTGTGATGAGGCCCGAGTGCTGCTGACAGGATTCAGGTTTTGTCCAAAGGAAGCCTGAGGAACTGAAGCCAACTGAAACATTGAGTGGTTATATCCAAACAGCCCCAGCCCCTGGCTCACAGGACCCAAAACACCCCATGATTTAAGCCTGCCTCTGTCAGCAGTGGTCCCAGTTCATTGCGTCTCAATGAGCTGGGCCCAGCAAAGTCAGGCCAAGATAGCTGGGCTGAGCTGGGAGATGAAGCTGACTAACTCTGAACGGGGAAGGATTAAATTCACTTTCTATACAATTGCTGTTTCTTCACCTGTCAAACATTACTGGCTGTGGCAACAGCAGCATCATTTCCAGTTTGGTCCTTGGCATGGTGTATGGGCAGAGGAGCTGAGGTGGGATTACAATGATTAGAAACATTCCCTTCAGAATCTTAGCTATTATGGCTGGAAAATGTTGAAGCTGTTTATTGCTGCAACAGGAGGGATGCAGTGACCCAATGATGACACTGCTTTTTTTGTGCATTTCACCCCTTGTTCCCACTTCCATGAGCAGGGGGTGCAATCTTGGTGGATTGCTTTTCAGACTTACTGTTGCTGGAGTAGTTTTTTCTCTGACATGTTGCTTTAATGAGTAGTACTGCACTAGGGGTGGTCTGAGCATCTCTGGGCATTCCTGCCTAACAGATGCTTTGCAAGAGAAGGGCCAAGGTATCTTCCACTACTTGAAACAGACGAATTCTTGACAGAAGGTGAAGACTGGTGAATGTAGTAAATACACCAGCTGTAGGGAAAGCTAGAGACAGAAATAAGGTTAAAAATAGGAAAAAAAAACATGGAGAAAGGTAAAACATGGATACCTCTTTCTTCATGTTCATCTAAGAACAACTATCCTGTTGAAGGAGAGTCCTTTCTTCTCTGCTGCTTATAGTCTGAGCTTGATTCGTTGTTGGAGACCTCTGTAATTGATGACTGCTCTAATCAGACTTAGTCTGCCCTAAAGAAAAGCAGACTTGAAACATGAGGGCTAGTTCCAAGCCTCTGCAGTTGCCAGTTTGGACTCACCAACATGAACCACAAACCCAGGCAGTATTTGAAAGTGGGTCTTTATTTGCTGAACTAACACAGAAGTAGCATGTAAGTAGCAAGGCAGTTAAAAACACAGCACTCCAACAGACCTGTCTCCTACTATTTGTTGTTTCTGATTCTTTCAGAGATACTCTAACAGTAGAGGAAGCTTCCACCCCCCTTGCAAGGGGTTGAATTCAGTGGAAATAACTTTGCTTTAGCTGAGGCCCTAGTACACTTCTTAAAGTACAATCACCTGAAAAGGATCAACACAGAAGCCCACTTACAGGTATTAGTAATGCGTGTTCCTTCTACTTAGAAAATACAACAACAGCAATATTCTACCTCTAATAATACAGTGATGGAAGTCTTTTCCTGGCTGTTATTAATGGCGTAAACTCTTATTTCCAATCTCTTTCCTGAGCAAGGTTTGACTTGCCTCGATAGGGTCTGCCAGTTTGCATGAAAGAACATTTACTTTCATTCCAGTTCTCCAGCTGGGTGACACAGTAATCTGGAAAAATAAGAAAGGATCGTTGTTTTTACTGCTGGATAGCACTTGAAACATACTATCTTTAAATATCACACAGCATATTTCATTGACAGATTTGGTTATAAATATTTTATAGAAACATAGGATGGTTTGGGTTGGAAAGGACCTTAAGATCATCAGTTCCAACCCCCTGCCATGGGTAGAGACACCTCACACTGGTTGCTCCAAAGCCCCATCCAGCCTGGCCTGGAACACTGCCAAGGATGAAGCATTTACCACTTCTTTGGGCAACCTGTGCCAGTGCCTCACCAGTTCCAGTGCCAGCTGATTAGAGTTATCCTAGAACAGGCAGTTCTATGGAAAAAGACCCCAGTACAGCAATGCAGTTAAAAAAGTAAAGGACATTGCAAATAAGGACAGGTCTTTCAGCAGTTGCTCCAGGTGTGTGAATCTAATATCATTGCTGCTTTAAGGAGAATTGCAGATTTTAAACATACTTAATCACATTATTTCCAAAAATACGGGTAACTGAGCAGTGTACTTGGGTAACCCCACAAACAATTTGTTACATATATTGGCTGCACCTTATTCTTGCCAACTGATATGTTAACTTTATTTGTTATAAACCTGCAGCCATAGAAGTCAGTGACTGAGTAAAAATCATGTATAAAATCATGAGTAAAGATCATTACTGAGCATAAATCGTGTGTACTTTTGGAAAGCCAGCCCCTGAATCAGGACTGGCCAAGAGCAGTTTGTGTCTTCCCTAATTTGCCTGGAAGGGGCCTGGATACATCTGATCCTGCAGGGACTTCCTCTAATACTGGAAATATGACAAAGACTGTTTACTGGGAACGTTCAGAATACATGCAAAACCTAATCCTAATTTTTAAGAGTTCAGCAGAATCGACATGGCATTTGTCAGTACTAAATATACTGCTGGGAAACAGCCCCTGCTTTCAATTAACCTCAGATACTAACTTTAAAATAAATCTTGCTTCGTTCCAAAAGAAGTTGCCATTTCAATGCAGTCTTCTTGTCCTCTGCAAGAGCGAGGAATTCCTGGACCTGTTAACAACAGGACAGCACAGAACACCTCCTCAGCATACAATTAGAACAGCGCTCTGCAACAAAATGGTGATGAAAAGAACATCTTGCACATTTTTAGGCATTTCTAAGCTGTATTTTTTCTATTTAACATGGTGTTTGGTGTGATATATCTACCAAGAAAGTCAGATTAATCAGGATAAATTGCAGGGTATCTGAGAATCAAAGTTAGGGAATCCTAAATGTGTTCTCAGCAAAGTGTGAATTAATGAAAATGAAGTAGTATTCAGGGTGTTCACTCTTATATTTAACACATTTCTTCTTAGCAACTACTGACTTTAACTTCTGATTTGTTAAAAAGCCATGTGTGTGTGTGGGGGTGTATATTAATATATACATGCAGTTTTTAACCAGTACACACATATATACACAAAGAACATTTACATGCATCTGTAATTTTCATCCAGCTTCACAGCTCAGATCAAATCAGAACAACCTAATTCCTTTCCACTTACTGTGCATCCTAATGCTTCCTCAGCCACACAGTCAGACAGGTAACAAGAATAAAGAGTGCCTGTGTGATCTGTCACATCAATAGGTATCTCAAAGCTTGCAAAAATGGACTTTAGGTCTGAAGAGGTATCACTGCAGAAAGTGCATGTGTTTGACACTTCATTCACTATGAAACGACACGTTGAACTGAAACATAAGAAGATAATTAATACATATATTAAAGCATTTCATCCTTGGTTGAAATTGTTTTCTAGACTGAGATTTTCCCGAGACTTTTAATCTTTAAAGAAATTCTTCATCTTCTAAACTTTTAAGTCTGAGTCAAAATGGCCTCTTTTTCCTTCACTCCTCTAGGACCAGAAAGAGCAAGTCATTCATAAAGCCAACTCTTCCTTGCTACTTCTGGAAGTCTAGACAGCAGATATGCACATGGCATCCTCCAGAGAAGTTTAATTCCTTGTCTGGAACTGGACTAAAATACTGGTTTATCCAATTTAGATCAGGGGAGGATGGACAAGCACTTCTTATTACAGATTTAAATCAGGCAGTTGCTTACCATCTGTTGCGCACAACTTTAGATGCATTATCATCAATGTTCAGAGTAGAAATGTATCCATAAATAACTCCATAGATGGTTTCAAGTTTCACATCACTCTGTAAAGCTTTTTCCTTCAGCTGTTCCACAGTATAAACATCAACTATAGTCTCCACTAGAAGTTTAAAAGACATGTTAAGTGCATCTGAGAAAGAAACAATGCAGAAGAGCAACGACAGAAAAGGATCTTGAGGGAATAAAAAGGAAAGAATTTGACCTAAAGCATCAGAAAAGCCCCATTCTCCACTCCACCCCCCCCCCCCCCCTTTGAAGCAGGCTTATTGTTTAGGGACAAAAAGTAAAACAAAAGGGGACTAGAAATAGGAAAATATCTACTACTACATCTTTGTATCCCTCAAAATGAGTTTGACATAAACTTTCCATCTCCATTTTTTGTACTTATTGTTACAGACATCAACCCTGAAGATACAGAACTGATGATATAAGGAACACCCCCGGTAACAACAGTGCAAACTCTAAATATTCAGCCACCTCAGTTTTGTTTCTATGAGCACACAGAGCAAGAACCTGATGCTTCAGCTGCACTATGAAGCTACACTAGAGTTCAGTAAAATCAAAGTGTCTGGATCCATGCTTACAGTTAACAGAGTCTTTTGACTGCTGCATCACTTTGTCATACAAGCCTCCTGATTGTGCGCTCTCTTTTATGAAGCTGAAGAGAACATTTGCTTCTGCTGTTTCTTGAAAAATAATTTTTTTAAAGCTATTAGTATATGTAGAATGTAAAAATATCAACATAATTATATTTTACAGCTTTTTATGCTGGTAGCACCAACGCATGGTCCCTTGGAATGAGCCAAGAGATGCTTTTCTCTTTATTACTTTAATATGGAATATATGAAGGCTCCTTAGATAAAATAATAAACCAAATAAAATAAAAAGATAAAACAGTGGAAGCTAAAAGCATTGGTCACTACTTGGCAAGAAGCAGGGAGCTTTCTTAAGCAAGCACGCAAGAAAAATCAGGCCTCAAATCAATTTATCCTTGCATTCTAGCCTGAAATGATTACTAATAGCAAAGCAATACTGCCCCAGCACTTACCTGGATTAGTTGTAATGATGGTTTTTGATATCACAGTTGCAGTCATACAGTTCCTAAATTTGTCAAAATTTATCTTCACATCTGATGCAAATATCACTGTGCACAAAAACCCCACGAAAATGTTATTGTAAAATAAGTATCATGTGAAGAACTACAGTAAAAACCACAAAAGCCAGACTATTTCACCTGTTTCTCGTGGGATCCAACTCTGTGCAAGCTGGATGGATTCATTATCCCAACTACATGAAAAAAAAAGTTAATGCATGAAAACAGTTTTGAAACAGCACTGAAACTGTTAAGTATTTAACCACTAAGTAATACAGTTATAACTGAATTGATCAAAGGGGATACAACTGCCTTGTTACATGGACACACAAATGAAATGCCAGGTGTAGCCACAGGTATCTAGTCTGCAGCCAGCCAGGATGCTTTATGTATAGTCTAACACAGCCCCTATTTTATTCTGTGCCAAACAGGATAAAGGGTTATTAGATTGTTCAAAATCATTAAATACAGAATAAACCTGGAAAAATACTGTATTTCAGAGTTTGGACAACAGTAATTTCTAACTAAACAAATCACAGTTAAAATAACTGCTTATCAGCTGAGCCTCTTCTGTGAGTACAAGCCGATTGCTCCCATCACTGGGCCAGATGTTCAGCCAGCTTTCCAGCACTGGAATCCTTGTAGCTGTGGATGATGAGACTCGAGTGAGGTCAGTGGTATCCCTCAAGAATGATAATTTGATGGTTAGGCCCCTTGATGAAATCTCATTCAATTTCTCATGAGTCTGGATGACAAGAACACTGCCAAATCACAGTTCTGTTCTGGTGGGTTTTTTCTTAACCCTTGGAAAAGGTTTTAAGATATTTGCTTTTCATTTAACATCGCTCAGCCACCTCTTCAGTGACAGCCTCTGAGATCTCCTCAGTACAGTGCTGTTGCTCAAGGATTTCCTGAATCTCTGACTCTACAGAGGACTCCACGAGTGTGCAAAGGACATAGCTGAGTGCAACCACAGTAACCGCAGCTTGTCTCTGCTTCTGAGCACTCCTGAGGTGTACAGCTCTGTATCACCACATACCAGCATAGAAACAAGACTGTTGGAGGTGCTGCTGCAAGTTAACATCAGTGGGAGCTCAAGGGCAAGCAAACTTCACACCATAGATGCTTATGTGTGTTTGTGTGTATACATTAACTATGTTAAGCATTACATGGACTGATAATAGTTTCTGACTCAGCCACAGAGCACAATGCTATCTTGTTACTTCTACCTAGGAAGCAAAGGTCATTTTCACCAACAAACAGCAAACCCACTGCAATTGAGTGCCCACATACCCTTGCACAGAGATAAGCCATATGTTTATTGAACAAACAATGGGCAAAATGCAAATATTCCTGTGTAAACAAGTCACTATGTACATGGATAAGTGGTATAGACATAGCCATGTTTGTAAATGCAATACAGTGTGACAGTATGGCCAAAGTAGCATCAAAATGTTTTTTGTGTTATTTTAAACACTTAAAAACTCTTCCAACCTCTTTCTATTCCACTTGTTCATTCTGCTTGGCTTCAAAAATGAAGCATATTCCTCCTTCCCCCCCTAGTTTATGGAAGATGTGTTGCCTTTGCAGCTGGTTTTAAATGCCATTGCCTGAATTGGTTCAAAGTTCCACATTAAAAAATGTAACTATATCTCTTTTTTGAGCCTCTGTTCAGTGTACATCAGAGTTCCCACCCAAATAACCATACATTTAACAGTGTGGTAGCAGTATGTATTATAGTTAATTTCTTTACCTACTTTTGCATTATTTTGTGTATTTCAATGAATTGAAAGAAAACCATTTTACCAGACTATTGGAAAAGACATCTCTGTTTCATCATACAGCTTTACTTCACACCTCTGACCTTTCCTTTTGTCTGAAGTAATGAAATACTTTGGCTCCCCAACCTTTAAGAAGAAAGGGAAATAGTCACTTTTTCCTCTAGCAAGTGTTTGGGAGAATGAAAGTGATTAACTGAGAAAATAGAAGAGTTTAAAAAGGGGGGGGGGGGTGGCGGGAGGGGGGAGTTAAAACCCTGTAGACCACAAAAAAACCCAAACCAAACAGTAAGTTACCTATGGTACAGTAGAGAAACATGATTCTTGTGGCTCTTGAACTTACTGACATGACAGCTGCAAGCAGATTAAGGATCCTTCCATCAAGGCTCTGTCCATTTGCAATGATATCACCCAGTGAATAATAATCCTGAGGGTCCTTGACAGGCAGATGCAGCAGAGAAAGCAGTTTGGTGTCCATTTCATAACAGGAAAACGTTCTGACGACTGAGTGGTTTTCACTGAGGATTAGTTTGTAGCAACTAGATAGTATACACAAAACGAAGCACACGGATAAACATTTCACTCACCAGGATATCAACAGTGTAAAATGTTCATTCAGTTCACATGAGGAAATAACTGCTGGTTTATTCATCTAGTGTTTTCCTTAAAGATGAGGAAAAGTTGGAATTAATTTGCTCTAAAATAAAACTATATACTTTTCTCTAACGAAAACTTATTTTCATGTACTTTATACACAGAACTGAAAAGCCAGTGTGAATTGCTAGCAATGGACAATATATATTTCAAACCTTTCAGCCTTTATCAACCACTAAAAATAAAATCAGTTCTGAAATGTCTGTAATCCAGGTAATGAGAGGTTTTGGCATCGTGACATAGCTACAGTCAGACTGGATTTGGTAAGGTGCTTTCAAAAGTAATAGCTCCACGACCTCAGGAATATTTATGACACGCTGTTAGCCAGCAGAAATAAGATACAGTTGATGTCTTCAGTATAAATATATTTTACAAATGCTTATGAAATCTATAGATTTAAGAGGAGCACTTTCCCTCAGTAAAATTTCTCTCTCTCATTTGTTCTTCTTTCTGCTTAGCCAGAAACTGAGTGTATCTTCTACAGCTACACATTTGCTACAATGCTTAGAGATGGTCAATAAACCGGGACATAAAACTTCTTATTTTTATGTACATGTATACAATATTCTTATGCCTGCCATATGATTACAAATATTAGAAAATGACCAATTAGGAAATAAACACTAGTTAAAGAGGAGGTCTATTAGCCTGTATCTTAGCCATATAAATGGAACTAAACCATATCTAAATTATGACTTAAAATATTCATTTCATATACTGCTTCAAACGGTCCAGATTTTACAGAACACACTGAAAGGCAACATACATACGTCAATTTCAGTTTTAATAGGCTTTACCCAAAGAATTAAATTTACTCTAGTTACACAGAGCATTATTACTTTAAGATCATATACTGAGAAATATATTCTCCTTTGAGATATTTGACCATAGATGGTTGAATACAAGGAGTAATGTACAGCTACATAGCACAACTAACCCCAAATCCTTGGCTGGTATCTAAAGCAAGTATTAACTTAGATCTTTCTGGAAAGAACTACCAGTCTGTGCTTTAAATTTACCTAGGAGTTACAGGGTTGAATTTCTCTTCTCTTTCTGCTTCCTTCGACTGAATTAAAGGATTTTCAATTGTAACTAAAATAAAACATTGATAAGTGATGTTATAAAACTGAACGTAGATACATATAAAGAGAGATGTTTTTAAGAATGGCTGTTTTTGAGGTTGATAATGGAAAAGGTACATGCAATAACTGCTGCCAAATGTTTTCATACTGAAAACTGTATCTGTCCAGACAGCCGACATTATAGCCAGACTCCCACAGGAGTCCTCGAGACACCAAATGGAAACAAACCAACACCAAGTTTTCATGTGTGTACTCAAGTATTTTATCCAAACACTCTGAACTAACAACCATGGGCAGCAAGGTCTTTCTATTAACAAAAGCACATACTATAAATGTATATGATTCTTGTTGTGTTTGTATGAACAATCATAGTCACATCCAAAACTAAATGAAGACAAATAGAACACCAAACTACTTTAGAGAGTTCATTTTTCATCATTTATAAGAACCAAATATAAGAACTTAGATCATTAGGTAGGTTCTGGGTGGCTGCATTCAGTGGTTTGTGTCTGGTCTTTTTGTTGACATATTTACTGATTTTGAATTTAAATCCTTGAAATCTTATTCCTTTCCTCTTTATACGTAACATAACTGAACAATTTGCTTCCAATTAGAATGTTTTCTGAGTCCTCAGAGAAAAATAGAGCAAAACCACAAACTCATATAACACTGATGTACTCGAAAAAAATACCCAAAACACATTCAAAAGAAACCATTAAGAATAAACAACTTACCACAGTCACCAACTCTGAAGCTTTCTGAAAGGGATTTAATGTACTCTTCTCTGCCCCAAGAATTTACATTTATGAAGTAAGTTGGTGAATCACGAATAGTAAAACTGAAGGTGTATCTTTCAGACCCAATGTCTGCAAAAATAAACAGCACTGTTACAGTTCATTAGCACAGCTTGATTGATTTCAATCTGGAATATATGGCTATAACCTGCTATTCGGAGGTTTTCCTGAGTTTTGTCATGATTTTACAGCCCGCATTCTGGAGAGTCCCACTAGAGGTCAGCAGACTGTTCAGTAAACACACTGGTGTTCATGAATGGGGTTGTACTACTCGTGCTAGGGTTGTACCTGCACGATCCCATCCGTGCAGACATTCATTTAATTTGGGGCAGCACCACATAAACTTACAGATCCAATGACGAGAAATAAAGAGCATCCAGTCCATTCAAGGCAAACGCAGAACCAGGACTAATGCATGAAACAACACTATGAACCAGTGTATGCAGTAGCCCAAATTTTGCAGCAGGTAGGCTGCCCTGATATGGCTGTGCCCACATCTTGAGATATTTGTACTCTAAGGCCACCACAATAACATAGAAAACCACCACGATGGCATACCAGGCTGCAGATCCCAGGCAGCATTGCTGTCCAGGGGTTTAACAGAATAAAGCAAAGTGTTTCCAGCTCTATGGGAAGTTCAGGGTTAAGAGGGTCTCAGTCTCTTTTCTCTTCCAGCTTCCCATGGATCATACAGCATTATGCAATATGTTATTTTAAATTATCAATGAAAACTGTATAGTGATCCACAGAGTAAGCATAATTTGATGGCAGTCCCATGGAGGCACAAATACGAATACACTTTTCACACTATGTAGAAGTGTCCCATGGTGACTTGCTTCTAATTCACCCCTAGGACAGCTCTGCATGTTGCCAAGGAGCCCTTCACATAGGGCTGGAACGGCTCTCTAGGACTGGAGATGCTTCCTAACAGTGTCTATATGAACCCTGAGCTGTAGATATGTCGCTTCAGTTTCCAGCTAATGCTGGGTTAACAATGTATTATTCACATTTTTTCTTTAGGAGCATAAAATAAGATGAAGCTGGCACTACTCAGACCAGAAATTACTTGTTTCACTCCTCAAAACATCTCCTTAAAACATTTCTGTTTTAAGAAAGAATGAACACAAAGGGCCCAGATCAATTCTGGCACTACTCAGACCAGAAATTACTTGTTTCACTCCTCAAAACATCTCCTTAAAACATTTCTGTTTTAAGAAAGAATGAACACAGAGGGCCCAGATCAATTCTGGCACTATTTCTATCAGTGGGTCCATATCAGCACGATCTTTTCAGACCCTGAAACACTTCCATAATGGAGTTTTTCCAAGCAAAGTCTAATTGATAAGGTTTAGCCAAACTGATGCTGCTCTTTCATCTTGGTTTCCAAACACACACATTTCTTTTGTGCATTTTTACTCTATCCATTTTACACTAAGAAGTCTGTTTATCATTTAAATGTTGATTTTAGTCATAGATGCCAAATTGTACTGTATAAGAAAATGAAGTAAAACCAGTTAAAAGGGACTGTACTTTTTCTGTCTGGAAAGCCTCTGACATCTGTTTTCCCAATAACCACACCGATTACATTCTGAAAAATAAAAAGATTATAGAATACAAGTATTAAACACAGATGTATATGAAGAATTAGATTTCGTGGACTTGTACTCTACTGATGATAATAAACATGTTTCTGACTAGTAATCATGTTAATCTATTTATTCCACAATGCCATATGAACTAAGACCTAAAACACAAACATACAATTTTCCCTGAATAAAAAAAAGAGTGACTAATAAAAATATTAAAAGAAATACATCTGGTTCTGGTTGTAAAGACAATGGGAGGACAAAAGTTCACTCCAAACATTCACTATTTTGGCTGTTCTACAGCAATCTCTCCTCAGGTAGGCAGCAATCATGTTGTTTCATGCTCTCTGCACAGGTCTCAGATCTCCTTAAATGCACCATGAAAAGTCTGGACAGGATTTATTTTGCAGTTAAGCATCCAAGGTTTCCCCTGCTGTCAGCACTGAGATCCACACGCGCACATCCACAGGGAGGGCTATTTATCCTGTCCTCAGCTAAGCAACATTAATTTCTACAGGTGCCTCTTTCCTGCTGCCTGTCTCTCATAACCAACTACAAAGGGAGTGTAGGAAATAAACTTTTTGGATGATCCAAAGTAAAATCAATCTTATTCTGCTTTGCTAAACCTGTATTTGTTATGCAAAAGTGGCCCAGTCTCAATTGTCAAACAAAACTACTAGCAGCTGAGGGAGAAAGATATATTTATATCTTATTTATATAGCTTATATTTATAGCTAATATATAGCTGTGTGATGGTGGGGTTTCTAATCAAAAAGAAGTAGAAGAGTATTGCAGTGCTAGGTTGGGATTTAAGAGGTAAGCAGTGAAAGCTGGTACGGAAGCAAGGCCAGACTGACACTGCAGTACTGCAGAAGTCCTTCCAAACACGACTTCCTCATCGCAGCAAGGGAAGGGGCAGAGTAACTGTTTAATAACCCACACGAGCTGGATTTTGCCCTGTTCACAGAGCCATGCAGCCTGCTGACTGTGACAATAGTGATGTGTGCTCAGAAATGAGATCCTACGTTCCCAATTTACTTTGAATCACTAGATGGAGCAAGGTAACTGTCTTATCCTATAGTGATGAGAATGAACAGTGTTGACATCCTAGTTCTTCCAAGTCCTTTTAACAGAATACTTTCTATCTGAAAACAACATGCAGTGATTTAGATTAGGATTTGATTTTTCTCTTCTTGGTTCTGTTTCCTAAAAATAAAATTCAATTGGATCAGAGTGCAACACACCCTGTACTGCCAGTCAAAAAAGCTGACATTTAGAATGACTTTTCACATGAATTAAGCTGCTGGAAATCTGTAGTTTCCAAAGGAGGTCTCCCCTCTCCCTGCTGCAAATTTGTTCACCTCCCTCTCATATTAGCACTCAGCCTACCCAGCAAGCTGCGAGAAGGAAGTGATCTGGCTGGAAACTATTTTTTTTTGGGGGGGGAGGGTGGTGGTGAGGAGAAAGAGGGTAGAAAAAACTTGCAGAGATCATTTCCTTGATCAGCTTATTGTGCAACTACACAAGCACCAGTTGCACTGCTGGAGGAGGAGCGGAACTGCCTGCAGGAGGAAGCAGGCCAGCCTGCCTTTTTTGGCAGGGCATTGCTTAAGGTTGTTCAACCGGATCATGAGACTACAGCATTAACACACTGAAAGTTTCTGGGGCTTTGATCCATTTCGCTGTTAAAAAATAAACTGCAAGGGAAAAGAACTATATTTTGATTCTGTGAATGATGTGTGCTCAGCTGCTTTAACGTCCTGAACACACACAGACCTTTCAACCAGGAGATGCTAGTGAATTGCTTTTTATAAAACTACTTTAGTCTATGGTTCTATGATTCCATATGTTGCTAATTGCAATACTCAAGATGAGTTTTCTTTGTAAAATAAATGCTTTTAACCGAATTAGAGGATCACTCGATTTGAGAGTAACTGGGAATGACAGATTAAACGAGCTTTGCAGGAGACCAGGAGTTTATAAAAAGTTGGAAAGAGCATACAGTACCGCTCTGAGGGAATATAAACCTCCTTCTTCTAGTTCATCCCTTTTCCGTGATTTCTCTTTCAGTTGTTTAAAATATATGAGGGGAAAAGGGATATATTCTGCCCCTCTCAAATACAAAGCTTTGGGAATAGAAAAAGTTGGTTTTGCTCTTTTCACAAGCATCAGGACTTCCACAGGGCAGCTACTTTAAGCTGCACAGGGAGACAGGGCTGTAACTCCACACTACAGCTCGTGGGGTATCCATGGGGATCTGCTGCCTCTGTTTAGCTCTCCAGGCTCCAGCTCCCAGCAGCACTGAATGCTCAGAAGACACTTTATTGCTATTGGGCTGCACAGTGATGGTGGGATATACTGCAACAGAGAATATTGCAGCCTTCTCCTTCCTGTATTAAAACATCATCTTGGAGAGAAGAGAATGAAAAATTCCACTCCTCAGACTTCCTGGGTTTTATTCAATCATCTAAAACCCCAAAAGAATAATAGTGAGTTTTAAAGCACACTTCTTGTTCAGCTCCCACTCCAGTGATGATAGTCATCACTCACATCAAGACAACAACAATAAAGTAATCATATTTAAACATCTGTATGAATTTGCTAAGCATAAAGCTTTGCTGTTTGTTAAGTTTACTTTTTAGTTCGTCTTATTCTCCTGCCCTCCTACGAGCAAAATTCTTAGCTCCTTGTAAGCTGAGTACAAAACCTGCTTTTTGTTCTAAAGGGACAGCAGAAGTGATCCTCTCCGACATGCAACTGTGAGATTGTTATCCAGGTAAAATGCCATACCATTCAACAAGAGTTTTGTTTGAATGATCCAGGACTATGTTATTTAGCTCAGAGGGATTGAGAACACAAGTAAAGACTGCAGGACTTGGGTTCATAGCCTGTTGTGAAAGACTATTGTGGGTTATGGATGTATTGTGACTACATAATGCTGACTCTGTACATGACTTTACTAATTCAGCATCCATTTAAAACATTACAAAGAAGCCTCTGATACTTTCAGACATTGAATTGTCCAGTCAATATCTATAGTTGTGGCATCCACATACTATGGACAACAGCAGCATCAATTTTCATTTTGCTGGTTTATCCACAAAGAAGGTAAGGTACTTTATATCTAACAATTACACTAATGCTGTTAGTATCTAAATATACATCAATTACATAATTTTGCAGTAATATAATACAGTCATATACAATTTCATTTGGGAACAAAAGTACTATGTCTATGAGACTTACAGGACGAGCAAGACTTGGATGCAGATCTGAAAGTGCGACAAAGTCCTGTGTTGAACTAGAATAAGCCATTCTTGATCTGTAACTTGAGAAAACTGATTTAGATATTTTAAAAACCCAAACAAATCACTTAAAACCATTCATAGGGAGAATAACAAGTCATTTTTTAACACAAATGTTTTGACCTAAATAGCATCTGTTTCCAATAAAAAGACTTTCCAGCCATCTGAAGCAGACAATTCTTTATAGCTTGTGTTTGGCAAGGTAAGTTATGAATTTGACTGTAACTGCTCTACCTGTGCTTCTCAAATAAAGGTCTGTAATTGTGATTTATTTATTTGCCATTAAATGACTCCATTAGCACCAGCCTCTGAAAAATATTTACCCTCCTTCTGTCTGGGAAATCCAGCTGAATTTAATGAGGCAGTTCATATATAAAAGGCCATTTACATGGGAGGAAAGAAAAGTGTTGGGTTGCAGACCACCTTAATTGAGGTTTTGGGCTTAATATTAAACTACTTGAAAACGGGAGTTCTTTCTTTCCTCAAAGCAGAAAAGTTTTGAATTTATTAAAATAAACTGGTAAAAATAGGTTATTTTTCAAGCTGCCAACATAGCATTCCTGTGAGTTACTGCACACTCAGGTCTTCTCTATGGATGCCCAAGTCAGGCCATGGGTGCTTTGTTAACCCATCTGAATACCTCTTATTAGTTCATGGATACCCCCAGAGACATTATTGATATTTAACAAATAGCTGTCAGATTCTAGTTTTCTGTGAGAGGATCCATCGAGTTGTCCAAATTTTAATATGAGAGAAGTGATATTGTCCAGAAGAGCCCTGTTCAAGCTTTATAACCAAGGTCCTGAATGGCTTTTACAGTCTTTATACCTTGCGTGAGAATGGTTAAACCTAGCAGCAGTGTTGTACAGAAATTGGCAATCTGCACATTAAAAGAGGCAAGCATTTATCTGAGAAGTGGCTTCTAAAAGAGCATTTCAAACTAAACTCAGAGAAAGATAGCCCAAATTTGCCTTATAGTGAGGTCCTCAAGCGTGTTCCCATCCTGTTATATGGAATAGGTCCCCTCAAGTATCCCTTCAAGGCATATTAATATTCTGCCCTCAGAAGAAGTTAAATACAGTTAAATGGCACACCTCACACCACAGTTAGAGAACACAGCACTGGTAACATGTGTAACCAAGGGAGATTAAGAGGTATCTTAGGGTTTCAAGCAGCCCTGACAGGGGAGGCTGCAATGAGCAGTCGCAGCCATTCCTTACCTCAGAGGCAGGGATGAGCGCCTGAGGGAGAAAAAGGACTTTTATCTCACCACCACCCAGGAACAGACCTTCAAGGAGAAAGAACGTGCCAGTCACAATAAACACAAGTAGTATAATAAATAAAAGTACAAGTAGCATATTAAATACAAGTAGGAAGCCTTCGGCACCATCACCCCACCCCAAGCTGGTGCCTGACGCCAGACAAGCTTGCACCCCCCAAAGCCAGGTTTCAAGGGATTCCTCTTGCATGGTGCCATCACCACCATCCTGGCTTTCCCTGCCCGAGCAGCACATGGTGGCCATCCCACACAGGCAGTGATGGTGCCAGGAAGGTGCCCTTACCACAAAGGGGACCGGGGAGGAGCACAGCCGAGGTGGGAAGGGAGCGCCCTGAGAGGAAGGCGTGAGGTAAAGGGAGACAAAATGGCGGCGCGTGCGTTTGGCGGGAAAATGCCTTCACGCCCTCCCGCAGCACGTGACCTGCCTTCATGGACCAGCTCTGCCATGAGGGGCAGTGGATCAGAGGATGGCCACCAAAAAACCCCCCATTCACCATAAACTGCATGAATACCTCAGCAATGGTGCCGGGCACAGAGGGGACAGCCTGGAGCATCCCTTCTGTGTCAGGTCTGAGAGCACCCAGAGCTTGGGTTCGCTTCCTTTGCGAGCCCTCTGCTCTGTGGGGCTTTACTTCAGTGCCCATCCCGCTTGGGGCAGCAGCTTCATCCTGAGGTTTTCAATGCGGGATGTTGATGTGAGCCACCCAATTGCACCTGTGGTTGCTGTCCTAACCAACGTCTGTATTTTCTTGGAGTGTTACTTGAATGAGACCCTGGAAGACTTCCTCCTCCCCAAATGCATGCAGCAGGGTCACAAGTGGGTCTCAAGTCGCCTCAGCTTGAAGCCACCAAAGCACCAACCCATGAGTCTAAAGTGATCATAAACCCCAAACCACACCAAAACCAAACCAAATCTCAGAGAGCTTTGGAGGAACCATCCCCTAAATCTTTTTTTTGTGGTAGCTCCCAAAGAGGGAAAAAAGAAATCACAACCTGTGTCTTCTACATGAATTAAAATGGATGGTGTAAGATATTATTTGTATTGATTGGTACACGGCACTCCCAGCTTCTCAGACTGGAGCGAGCCGTTTTGTCCCTTTATATTGCATATGAAATGATTTTCCTTTATAAAAATCGATGCTCTTCACTTCTGTGTCATAAAAAACTCTTACTCCTGGTGAGCAATGCGATGGCCTCAAGGTCAGGGCTATCGAAAGCTTCTGTGCAGGCTGACAAACCCTCGGTGTTGACTGTGTCTTCCAGGATCTTTCATTTCTCCAATTAAACAGCTGAAAGTGGACACCACCTGGGCTCTCGTATTTATTGTGCCACTAAAGCCCGTGGTAATTGCACCGTGCCGATGACAAACGGCATGCCAGAGAGCCGACAGCCCGGCTGGGTGGGTGCTTAGGTCACCTTTTAGACAGTGCGAGCCATGGATCTAACTGGGGTCCGTAGGTTTGAAGCATCCGGTGAGCAGAATCGGGGGTTTTCTTTGTTAGTTCTGTTGTTTTAATTATGTTAATGGTTTAATTTGTTAATGATTTAATTAAATTAATGAACAAGCAGAAGATGATGAGTGTGATGGGATCCTAATTGGATAAGAAGGAAAAGTTGTACACGGCCTGAAAAACACTGGCAAGGGTACAGGTTTCATTCTTGCCTCCATGACTGTGAGGTAAACCAGGGTAAATTGAAACCGAAATGAGATCTGCAGCTCTCCATTGCCACCGAGGGTGAGAAAAGCAAGATCACGGCCCATGGGCTCGCAGGCACTGAGCCTGTCTACTATCCCAGCAAGGATTTGGTGGCACATAAGCACTCACTTAAATGGAGCCTTGCTGAACCAAGCTAGCATCTTGTGCCCAGCATGGTCACCACCTTCATTAGGCTTTGTCCAGGGTGAGCTGCTTTTCACACAGAGACACAAAGGGCAGGTGAAACCCAAGCTGCAGTGTCCCCAGCGCGGGGCTGCAGGCTTTGTTTCATTTCAAAGCCACCAGAACAAGGATGCTTTGTGGTTTTGTTCCACTCCATTTTCAATGCGCCTACACTGGGGGAAAAGAAGCTGCTTTTTACTTTCCCATGATAGCTTCTGGTAGGAAGATGTTATCGGGGCCATCATGAAGGGCTGCTCCAATCTGGCCAGAGACACAAAGGCATTGGATGCAAGACCAGAGTTCTTTCCCTAGGAGATGTGATTAGATGCTGAATTTCTAACTTGCAGGTACTGAGGCAAGAACTCATTTGATTGACATACCTGTCTCACAGGGATGCTGTGAATTCTGCCCTTCACATGGCATGTGGCACAATGGGGAACAGCCATTTGGACTCCTGTAAGTTACTGTAAGCAAATGACATCTTTTTTGGTGCTTATAATAAACAAATGTCTAATCTGAATGTATCCTGCTGATTTACAATGGCAACTGATTCTCCACGTTAGGAATTCTTAATACAAACACTGAAGAGAGCCTGCAAAAACAAGTTACTCAACTTGTACCCAGCTTTACTCAAGCTTTCCTCCTCAGCTGACCTCAAAGTGATCTGTAAAGGGAATCAGCATTGTTATCTCCCTTTGACAACTGGAAAAACAGAGGCAAGAGGAAGACCAGCAGCAGTTTCCTGAGGGCTGTGCACCACGCAAGGACCTGCTCCCCTCTCCATTGCCTGCACCAGCTCCTGTGGAATGGCAACAGTATTAATTCAGTGTTTTCCTCATCTAGTGCTTGAATCCTGAAAGGTCTGAGTGATTTTAACTCTGCAGCACTTGAGCAGCACTTAGCATTCAGCCAGATTCTGTGTGCGATTAAGCAGAGGCTTCCCCATCCATGCCTGCAAATTGCACGGTCCCTGCTAATTAGGCCCTTCATGAATGGATTTATTTAAATCACACTCACTGGCATGGTCAAGGAGTGCAAATGCCATTTGGTAATTCACTTAGCAATTTGGTACGTGAGGATCAGGATCGTCTGCATGCAGAGGAAGCGAGTCCCCATCCAGCAGTAGCAGGGACACTTCAGAAATCATCTTCAATAGGATCTTCAGAGCTAGAGCAACATAAAAATATTTGCTCTGTGAGGTTTATGCTGCTCAAAGCATTTACTGAGTGCTCATTGAATATTTATACTTTCTTAGAACCTAAAGAATCTGTAAAATGAAAAGGGCAGACCTGTAATTTTAGGTAATTGGCCTGACTGAATCCACTAAAAGCAGCAAATTATTAAAGGTATTCACTGTTCAGTGGCTTTGGTTGATACCTGAACTGGCTGAGACTCAGGAGTGCTGATGGAGTAGTGATAGATGGATCTTTAGAAGAAGCAATGCAGGTGCTCATGCAGCTGGCAGGTGCTCAGGGATATCTCACTTCTTCCTATACCTCCCTCATCCTGGTCCCCAACACTGGAGTCATCCCAGTGCTGTTTCAGTGGGATTGCCTCGCTCTGAGCAGCACCACAACCTCCTACAACAGATGAAAATGCAGCAACCCAGAGTTACTTTTAAAGGAACGTGAGCCCTGGCTGGTTCCTGCCTTATCTCTGTTAATTCTGGCTTCTTTGGTGCAGGAAAGGTGCCAAGACCTGAAGCTGGTGCGTCCATGCAGCAGCAGCATGAGCAGACAGCTCAGACACTGAACATGTGCGTGAGGAAACAGGACCATGGGTGGGAATGCCAGCAGCTCTCTTTTGCATGAGGAAAACCCTATTGCTGGCAAAGAGGGGAAAAAGGCTTTCTTTAAGGTGTAAATCTGTGGGGGACATGCAAGTGCTGCTCTTCCCAGCTGTCCAGGAAGGATAGTGTTTTAAAACAACAGCTGCTCTCAAGACAACAAAGTGTCCCTGTTCTCTCTGATGAATTCACATGAAACTGCTTAAAACCAGACTCAGCCATCCCCACGGGCAGGGTGAACAGCATCTGCAGGGCCCAAATGCAGTAAGCATGGCATTTGCAGTGGTCCGTGCTGGGGGAAGGCAGTGTTCTTACTCTCCAAGGCAGGGTCTGGGTGCCCATTCATCAGCAAGCTCAATTCTTAACGATTTCAACACTAGTTAATCCCTTCTGCAACATTTGCTCAGTGGTGGAGCAAAAAGATCATACAGGGAAGCAATGAGAAAGGAAAGGAAGCCACAGCATCAACCTGTGCACTGAAATCAGGTCACGTCAAGCACCATCACAGAATCTGAGCACAAAACAAACACCACAATTGAAATCTGCGACCTTCTGGTTAATCACTAAGTAGCTGGTATATTTGAGCTAATAGCAAATAAACATATCCCTGATCTAATCCTCCTGTGTCTTTTTAATAGCAAAAAGTCAGAATAAGATGCCTACGTAGGAATTCACTGCTTGAAACCACTGACACAAGTCTGTTCAGTTCAGTTTGTCCACACAGTGATACTCTACCTTGCTTTGCTTGAAGATCAGGCTTTGATCACCCAAGATTTTAAAGCCTGAAGCTACAGACATACAAAGTGCTTCTTTTTGGAGTCTCCAAGCTTACAGCTATGGAGAGTAACTCCTCCCGCACACAGTTCCAGCATAATTGAAGTGAGGTCAGTGAAATTGGATTTTCATCACTTTCGTCAAGACCAGAATTCCCTCCTCCCTCACTCAGCAAACAAATGAGGAGTATTTTCCAACAAAACATCAGGAACTGAAAAATACAACAATTAAAAATAGTCCCAGTGACAGCTCCCTGACACTGGGGAAAGAGCACTTTGGAAGGGAAAAACAAGGCATTTAGCAGCGGTTGGCTGCCAGTCAAACATTTCCAGCTATTCAAATCAATAAAACCCCAAAACCAAATGCTTTATATCTGGATTTCAGTTTGTGACACATGATACTGAACAATACCAATTGGGACGCATGGGATGAGTGCCTTCCAGAGACAAAAATGGGGAAAACCCTTCCATTCTTCAGTTGTCCCACTTTCCAACAGAGCCTAAAACTCAATCCCTGCATAAGCAGTTCCTAAGCAGGAAAACCTAATACATACTGATACTTGAAGGGGCCTACAAGAAACCTGGAGAGGGGCTTTGGACAGGGGCCTGTAGGGACAGGC